TGCAGTGATGCGGTAATGTGCGGTGGTGTGCGGTGGTGTGCGGTGGTGTGCAGTGATGCTTGCCGGCTGAGGCGCATGGTGCACAGGCATGAGGCAGCGGCGAACCTGCAAAATCTGCAAAAGATCGGGCCTCGGACGGGAGGAGAACTGGGAGTCTGTGCATGGTGACACTTCGCTTGAGGCCGAAACTCGGTGAACGTCTTATTCTCGGACCCGAAGCAGCGAAACCGCGACTATGTGGCCGTAGTAACGCCCTGTTTTTTTTTAAGCACGGAGCCTGCAGGAACTCTTTGAGTCTTGCGGGCGACGTCCTAGAATGATCTAGGATGCTCTTAATTTAGCCCCACAGGCAGGGGCATGCCAAAAAGTACTTTCGACAGGCAAAGCCTGTCGCGAGCAAAGTGCTTTGTGGAAGAAGTCTCATTGTACTCTCTGCAAAAGTCAGTCAGACATCAAAAGGTAAGGACACTGTATGAAGTTCGGCATCTCCTGCTTTGCTCAGCATTTCCATTACTGTGTCCCAGCCAAGTCAGGCTGGCTCCACCCACTGCAGATCACGCTGCAGAAAAAAAAGAGCTTCGGGGTCAAGATGTGCTGCAACAAATCTTGGGCTTCACACTTTTGTGCCAGGAAGCAGAAGCAAAAGCAAAGGCAGCCCGCGTTCGGCCAGCAAATGGAAGGGGTCCAAGCAGCTTGTAAGTGGCAGAGACATGTGAAGGCTGCCGCCAAAGCAAAGGCAGCCGCCAACAAAAGCCGGCCCCTAAATGTGCATGCCGGAGGTTTGCCTGAAGACTACTCTGACCAAGGTCCTGAGGCCATCGAGCGAGATGAGAGCCGGGCCCCATGAAGCAGAAGACTAGACTAGAACGGCTAAAGCCTGGGCAGCAAACAATTTCGATTAGCTTCCAGGACTAGAAGCTAACTTCAAACAATACGAGCATCTCACGGAGGAGGAGCTGAAAGAGGCCGGGCCTAAGGCTTTGAAGTATCCCAACAGGTCCCGGGATTTGTTGAAGCAAGCCACCGGGAACCGCCCTGCAGATCCTCCCGAAGAAGGCAGATGGCGGCATTACCTCCATAGGCCTTGGCACTGTGCAAGCGACCCTTTAGTACGACAGTACAACTGTGCAGCACGACAAGGCGCCATGCTGCATGCTAGTGGGAAATGTTTGAGCCTCAGTCCAACATGTGTTATACTTATGTTGCGGCTGATGGGCTTGATGCAGGCGGGTGAAAGCCTGCGACCCAAGGCGCTACTTGCATTTTCCATCACTCGCCGAAGGGGTGCTACAATGCCATAAAATGCCGGCAGCGGCCCCTGTGGGCTGTGGGTGCTTACTGGCTTGAGCCGGCCTCGCCCCGCACTGCCTGTGAGAATCCTCTCTGAGGTTCTGCCACGGAGACCACACAAAGCCTAGCAGAGCATGGATCCAAGTTGCACGGGATCCTTAGACACTTTCAGCAGCTGTTAACGTCATGAGGCAAAAAGCAGGAAAAAGAAGAAGACGGAAGGAGAAGGCAACGCCGGCTGTGTTGTGGTTGGCGTGATGGTATGACATATGCTTCTGTCATGTTGCAAGGCGAGGAAAACAAGGCTGGACTTGCTATGGGACGATGGCAACGACGCAGATAATGGTGCTAGCACAAAACCTTTGTTGACAATGTTGACAGGCAGGAGGAGGTGGTGGGCCACAGAGACAGAAGTGGCGCACCCAAGGGGCCAAAACTCGGAATTCGTACATGTGCTTGCGCGGCTGTAGAGTGCTGCGTCTGAGGAAGACCCGCGATGGACTCTTGGTTTGGTTTATCATGTGCTCAAGGCTGACTGAACAAGCACGACATGTAAGAATCGGGGATTTGGTCTGACTTGCTCCATGGTGGTGGCTGAGGTGATGATGACGATGAGCCGGCGCGAAAGAGGAGGCTTGCATGGAAACGGCCCGCTCTCGATGCTGAGCTCCGCATGCACCCATAGCCTAGCACAGGAACGGCAATTCCGCTGCTGGCTGAGATTTCTAAAGCAATCTGCAAAGAGCCTTTCAATTTCTTGAATTCCAAGGGGGAGCTCGACGAGCTGGGGAATAGCAAGCCAAGCTGGATCGCTGATGGCGATGCGCCTGGCCTACGTGCAATCATGTGGGAAGTTCTCCAAAGCCTCAGCTCTGTGTTGGGCTCCAGCGCCTAGATGGGTCGTGATTTTGCCAACCACCTCTTTCATGTATTGGTGTCCTGTGCAAACTTCGGCTTAGAGATCTGTTGAGCATCCCAAGGAAAGCTATCCCTACCGGACTGCGTGGCCTTCTCAGGACTTTGCTAGCAGAGGGTTGCCTTGCTACGTTGCCTCTGGCTACTTTGCCTCTGCTTAGGCGGCCACCTCCTTCGCCTTGGGGTGCCACAGCAGATTGGTAGACTGTGACATACTGTGACCTTTGCCCTTTCCCTCCTTCCCAGGTCCCGCGGCCTACTCCCCGTACTACTATCCTCCCAGGCCAGCTGTTGGTGTCTTGCCAAATGTTGCCGAATTGGTGGATTTCTGGCCTTGCCCTCTGAGAATCTGCAGCTCTTGGACAGGGATACTCGGCCGCCGGAGTACTATCCACCGCCTGCTTAGTCACCTATAGGCAGGATTCACTTCTGTCATCGTTTATCTTGAGTAGCTTCTGTAAATGGCTGCGGTAGCATGCGTTCGCTGGCAGGTAGATGCCGCAAGCTCCGCCTGAATGGCGGTTGCGGCGTTGCGGCTGGAGAAAGTGGTGTAATTGCGGAACTTAAGCGACCGAAAGACTCTTGTGCCCCTGCTTTGCTTACTAATTAGCATTGTCAGTCTGTTATGAGAGCGTTGCCAGCAGGGCTTGCGCCCGCAACAAACACGAAGCAACATGCAACGTGAACAGAAGCTTGCCCGGACTGCTCGAGCTCCACGCAGCTTCCACGCAGCTTCCACGCAGCTTACTTGTGGTTGAGAAGAAGTGGTGACATTGCACATGACTGCAAGGTGCATGAGTGCTGTCTCCTGTCAGTGTTCCGTTCCATATTGCATTTTACACCTGGAGCCCAGCTGACCGCCGACGAGCAATGGGCTCCCTCTACGAAACGCAATGGATGCTACGTTTGGGGCTGGCCGGTTCTGGGGGGACACCGGCGACAACAGCACGCTGTCGTAAATGTCTCGCAAAGCCTGCGTTTCGGGTCGCAGACTCTGCCGAGCTCAGGTTGCACATCGCCTTGGAACCCCGAAGCCTTGGCACATCTCTGGCGATACGAAGATGTGGAGGCTGGTAGAGAGAAGGACCACCTCAGGGCACATGCAATCATCGCACGTCAATTTTTGAGTGATCTCATTGATCTGAGCCAAAGCTGCTTCTTGCGTAGGACGGTGACAAGGTTGGCCTAGTCGAACGTCGGCTGGATCTTGAGGATCCTAAGCCGGAGAAGGCTGAACCCTCGATTCTCGCCCTTTGGCTTTGAGATTTGTTTCAGATTTCAGCGTGTCTGGCACAGCCCAGTGGCAAATCTGCCAAGGCTGTACAGCTTGAGAGCGACCAGGAAGACGCCGATCAGAATGTGTTAGATGAGCCAGACGACAAGCCCGATGAAGCCTACAAGAGGAATCACGTGTCTGCAAGGGCCGTACCTACGTCCGGAGCAACCCAACGGATGGTATCTTCCCACCTCTCACAACCAGATCCAGGCCACAGATGGGTTCAAGCGCAGTGATTTCTACTGCAATGACTGTACTGTTATCATGCGCAGCTTCAGTTCCAAGGTCCAGCAAACACTGACCCCTGGGCCAACTTTTTGCCTGGCCGAGCAGCAGTGCCGCCGGAAAGACCTCGCTTGGAGGCCCCAAGTTGCCAGAGTTGAGCTGTTTCCTTCAACAATCTTACCAGGCCACTAGCCGGAATGGGAACGATCGAGACCACTGGAATGACTATTCCAGGACCTAATGAGCTTATCAGAACATATCAGAACGAACCTTTTTGAAGTGGAGCAAAAGTGTCAACGAAGGAACCAAGCTTCCGGACCACGACGGACAAATGGTGCCGCTGCCAGTTCTGAGGCAGGGCTTTGTCGGTGCTGTGGCTTGCAGTCTTACAGAATATTTCTCTACCGCACCTGCGCCTTGGAGTCTACGGCGACGGTTCGTTTGGGCAAAGACTTGGCGCAAAGTTGGACGACACGTGAGATACTTCATGCTGCCGAGATACATTTGGAGGAAGGTGTAGTAGCATGCGTACAATCATGTCAGTCTGGCTTTGCTGCGCCTCTGAGTCTGAGGAGTTCGATGTGGTTCACGCAGTCGTCGCCTTGCATCGCATTGCAAAAAGCACCGACCGCGAAAACCTTCGACATGATCAGCGCATGGTGGCGGTGCTTTCAAAGGTTGCCGCAACCGCTGCATCTGCTGCAGCGCCTTGACGACCACGAATGGAATTAAAGAGGGTTTTACAACATTCTGCGGAGGGGTTTGGCATGCGGACATGTGATGTCTTCTGCGTGAGGGCTATTTGTGAGGTGCCTTCATCCGGAGGTGAGATGCCTCATGTCAAAGAAGTCTCCAAAGCCTTGTGACCTGCAGCATTGGCAGAAAGCATCGTTGCGAATCATGTGCGATTGAAGGGTCTCTTTGGTTGTATTTCTGTCATGGCAAGGTGGGCGCTGGCCAAGGTTGGGCCTTGGTCAGACAATTTCGAAGGCCTTGGCCCGCGTGGCCTCGAGAGTGGCTCCTGGAGCGGCAGGGCGTGGACAGGCGTGTACAGAAGCCTCAAGGTACCCTGGTGTGCATTTGCGAAAGTCTGGCTTGTCACAGATCCCACAAGCCACGCTCAAGGCCCTGGGGAGCTCTGCCATTGAACGCGTGCACGAGTTGGACAGTCATGGCCTGTCGAATGTGGTGCGGAACTCAGGGCTATGCAGATGGGCACCTTGCAAGGAAAGTGCCCAGGCTTGGAGCCTTGCGGTGGCCCGCTTCGACCATAGCGGCTTTGTGGCGGCGATTGCCCGAAGCGCCTTGAAGCTCCTACCAGATTTTCAGGCTCAAGGCACCCAGTGGCAGCGCCGACTTTCAAGTTGATCTAGGTGACTGAAGTGACAGGTCTCGCGAACACTGCCTGGGCCATGGCCCGTCTCCTGGCAGAACCTGAGGCCTGCGCTGCATTCTTGTTCTTGCCTTCTGTCCAGCTGAAGCTGCTTCCAGGGACGAGGGCCGGAAAGAAAGCTGCTTGTACGGACCTCAGCTACAGGCGTGTGGATTTCTGTAGTGATCTTACTTTAGTCGTGCACCGCTTGGGATCAAAGTTCTGTGTCGTCATGTGTTGCACAAGGCAACTAAGAAGCAAGCAGTGCGCTTCAATTCCCTATGTCAGTGCTACCATTGAATGGTGCGCCCACAAGGAAAGCATTGCCAAGGAGGTTGGTCGGAACGCGCGCGTGCCTTCCTCACATGCATCTGCTTGTTGTCACAAGAAACAGTTCGACAACGCTGAGTCAGGATTTCACGCCACAGGGCTTGGCAAACATTGGTTGGGCCTTTGCCAACCTTGCACTGTTCCATTCTCAGAGCTGTTTCGCACACTTGCCCATCGCTTGTCCCCTGAGTTGCGTCTTCAGCATCATGCCATGTTGTGTTTCAGTGCTTGAGCTTCACGCTTTCTTCGCCGTTGCTTGGCTCGGACAATCATCAGCCAATGTGCTCCTATGGCCCTGGCGTTTTGATGTATAGATGAAGTGTGGGAAATGTTGATTCTAGCCAAGGCCCAGAACTGCAAAACGGCGGCGTTTCAGCGTTCAAGATATATTTCTGGAGAGCTTTCTGATTAAGGCTTCTCAGCAAGGTCTAGTCAGCACATAGCCGGGTTTACGAAGCGCCTTTGGGACCGCTCGGCCAGTGCTGGCACAGCACCCCTCCCCAACATGGAGTTGCGAGAAGGACAGCCCTGTTGTGCTGAATGTACCCACAGGGCCCTGAGAGGAAAATTGCAACACAGCCTCCTGGCCAGGCCTAGACGGAGTCCTCAACGAACTGTCAAAGATGCAGGAGTTGCTGCTTGGTTGGACCTTTTTGGCGAAGCACTTCCAGATGAGCAAAATCCTTCAAGACACTTTGTACGCAGTATGCGCTGCAAGGTATCGTGATGCCGAGACACGGCGCCAATCTGTCCAGCAAGCAGTGGAGTGGCATCGGGAGACATTGCTACGGTCTGCGGGGTTGCTTTGCCTGCAATTTCGTGACGCACAAAGGCTTGTGTGCTTCAGCTGTCAAATGCGCTTCTTCATGAGGGAAAGCACGCCTTTGACGGTTGCCCTCGGAGAAGAGGTTGCTGTTCTGCAAGCACAGCGCACTGTGAAGGAGGTTGATTGTGTTTTTTTCTCTTCAGTCTGGGTGGTTCCCAATGCTCCATTTTTTGTCATTGCTCCTCGGGTGAGAAGCGTCAAGCGCTCCCGAAGTTGTCCAAGCCAATGCCAATTCTCTTGCCTTGATCAAGGTACCTCAGCAGGTTTCCAAGGCTGGGAGTGCATGCTTCATGTTACTCAGGTAAGAGCTGGACCAGAAGCCATGAACTGCTGGCAGGAATTCCTTGCGCGATCCCCGATGGCATCCCTGCCCACCGCATTTCAGCCCACTGTTCCAGATACACTGGAAAACAGTCAGCCGTCCTACACGACAACTACAAGCCCAAGCAGCTCCCAGACGGTGAGCCTGCGACCTGAACAGACGGCACAGGCATGGCCCAATGGGCTTGCCCCAAATTGAACCAAGCCTTGCAAATTGTGGCAGGTCGAACAATCAAAGGATACCTGGACAGCTGCTGCAGAATATGCAGTTCAGAGGCTACAGCGTTTGGTGGCACGTGCTTCCATCTCAGGTTGTATGGCCCAGTTGTTCTTACTGCACACAGCCGCGCAGGAACAGTGGCAGTAAGAGGAAGACATCGGCGGACAAGAGGCCATCTGAGAAGCGGCCATCTGACAAAAGGCAGGGTGAGCTCTCCGTCGGCGTGTTGGTAGACGCACACCTCACGAAACATGCTTCGGGACAGCATGGCATGTAGAAGTTCAAGAAATGCCGATGGGGAAAGCCCAACACCGATACCGCTTCAAAATGCGGTTTACCATGGTTTACCGATAGCAATCCAATAGATGCACCTCAATGTGCGGTCGCATTTGGGAGCAAGAGTTTGGGGTGGTAGCTCAGCTAACAACAGCAAAACTTGCAGCAGCCTCAGAGTCAGTGCGCAAACAACACTGGCTGCACATACTGATGCCAAGATCGAGCAGTGAGAGCAAGCGCAAAGAACAACAAGACTGTTCATGACGTTGCAATTTGTAGACTTGGTTGTGCTGGTGCTGGTGCTGGTGGATGCGGTGGCAGAAGCAGCAGACGTAGTGCTTGAAACTACCACAATGACAAAGATTGCATCGTATCGGTACCCGCAGCTGCAGGAGGAGCAATTGTAGAGCGGGCCGCGCATACGCGAAGGCGAAGGATGTACCTGGAGCTTGCAGGAAGCCAGCCAGTGACTCATAATCATATTATACATGATCACGCACTTGCTGGCCCTGCCCACCCCACCCCCTCATGGTCTAGGCCTTCTCACCCCTCCCTTGTGGGTGGCTGTGGTTCAGGGGTTGGGGTGGACCCTCCCTTCTCCCTTCCCCCTGTGGGTGTGCCTGGGAGTGGATTATCTATAGCCTCCCAGACCGTACCATAGGGAGCATGGGGGGCCACAAACGCTAGACGCCTGACCACACATACCTACTATAGGTATGGCAGTTACGGCAGGGCGCAGCTGTCATAAACTCACGCCCAGATTCTTCGCAAGCCAGAACGGCGCTGGGTCGTAAATGTCCAGCCCTGCATCACGTTGCTGGGCTGTTTGTTGCGCTTGCTAGAAACACTGCCCGCTCCAACATAGCGCCACAACAAAAAGCACCTCATTTTAAAACTGGGAAGCTTCAGAATCATGTGGTGTTGTGACAGATTCATTCTGTGTTGTGGTGAAGTCACACTCGCCTTCTTTAAAGGGGAGGTGGGGGCGGGCGAGGATGTGACAGAAAATTGATTTGTTGGGGGGCTGCTGGCTGGAGACCTAGTATCAAAAGCTTATTGATGCGCAGGCATAGCGACCAGGAGGTCATCGATTCATGGGCTGCAGCAGAGATGCTTCAGCTTAGTGGCGAGGACTTACCACGTCTTCATGCAAGCACGCATGCAGTTAAATCGCATGCCATGTATCCTCAACGTGCCTCTGCAAGCAGGATCGGAGGATGGGCCGCTTTGACACAATCATCGGAGTTCTTGTCCTTCTGCGCTTTGGTTGCATGCTGTTCGTGTCTCATGGAGCAGATGGAGCAACACCGCTCGAATGAATTTGCAATTTATGCTGTCCAGGAATGCCTTTGCCATGGCCCTCAACTTGGAATGCTTGGGCTCGAAATCAGCAACAAGCCTTGGTATAACTGGTGGAATTCCTTGGTGTGAGACTGAACCTATCCTTGACGCCTGGAGCTCAGGGACTACATGGCCTCTTGTGCGGGTCAGAGAGCATGTATTCTGGGGCTTGAGTCACTACTGCCGACCGCCGTGCTCTGCAGAACCTCTTGTTCAGGTGCTGGAGCATGTCTTTGTTGTGGTATTTGGCCTTGAGCTGGTGTACCGGCTGTACTGCGTAAGATGCGAGTACTTTCGCGATTATTGGAATTGGCTGGATGCTACGCTCGTGTTGATTGCAGTGGCAGACCTGTATTTGCTGGACCCTCTGCTGTCCGAAACACCGGCTCACAATGCAACGACGCTGCGCGTGTTCCGGGTGGTCAAACTTGCTTCTCGGCCTGCAAAGCATCACGGACACTTCCATGATTGTACCTCGTGTAGGCATGCTAGCCTTGGTCGGATATCTTACGTATGGCTAAGGCTCGAGTTGTTCGCATCGTTCGAGCACTCCGTCTTTTTCGAGGCGCGGAGAGAGTTTTGTGAATCTGGAGGCCTAGAAACTGCACTGGGGCCATGCAGTGCCATGCTTGGCAAGGTCTGCGAGTGCTTGTGCACGCCTGCAGCTTCTTGGTGTGAAAGACATGCGGAGAGTCTTGAGAGTAGCGTAGATTTTTTTTCCCAGTTTCCATTTCATTTTCCATTTTTTTCCATTTGATTCTCCATTATAGTAGTTTCCATTTTCTTTTCCATTGTCATGGACTTCTTGGTCCTTTGAGGCTCCTTCTTGCCTTCCTTGAGCTGGTCTATGGCACTGCTTGGCCTCTGCATGCTTTCTGGCGGCTTGCTGATAGGAAATCTGTGGGACCCTCAGCTGTGCATGCCTATAGTAGCTGCTTCGCAAGTTCAGCCTGCATTGGCTTGGGAAAGCTTGAGGAAGCTGTCCACTTGCGAGCTTGAGGCTGCAGGATTACATCAGCGACGAGTCACAGGACCCAGAGTGGCGGTTATGGGTGTGGCAGCACTACGGCACCTCATATCGATCCATTTACACAATGCCCCTTGGTGTCTGCACCATGTACGACGTGTTGGCTGTTGATCAGTTGCATTGACAGTGGAGTGCCCTGTCACATCATGAACTGTGCTTAGGTACGAACTGACATTTGCGGGAAATTGGGGCGTCTATGCAAGACCGGTGCTGGAGCACGTGAGCCATGCATACGTCTTATTTTATGTGGTGCAACTTGCCTGACCATGTCGACCGAAAATCACATTGACTTCCACACACCTCACCTTGGCGGACATTGACATGTTGAAGCCCAGGTACATCACCTTCATTGTGTTTGCAGCGGGCCGGCATGCATTGGCAGAGCTGCAACACAGGATCTTCAGTTGCCTTGTACTCTTAGCAAGCTTCCATACCGGAAAAGGGGCAGGTAAACCTTGGCATAGGCTTCCTGAATTTCACATCCATGCGCATCCTCTCGTTGGCATGTTGCTCATGGCCGCCTTGGATTGGCACTCGTGGCTTTATTTGAATATAGTGCGCTGTCATATGGCACTGTGCTGAGGTCATTCGAGTAATTACCGCCATTTTTTTGAGGGAGACCTTAGAGGCGGCAAACAATGATGCTGAGCTCATGGTCCAGGAAGGTTTGCGAAGAAAAGCCACCTACATCCACAAGCTTGAGAGTACCCAGGCATGCAAGGAGACGTCAAAGATTTTTTTGATGTTGGCCTTGCTCTCTGCGACTCGCAGCTGTTGTGGTCCAGCGCATGCAGCACACAAACTAATAATAATAGTAGTAACAGTTAGTAAAGCTAGTTCGTGATGGTTAGTTTTAAGTAATGGCAATAATGTGCGATGATAGTTACGAATCATTGTTCATGACATATGACACGAGATTTCGGGCGGCTCGTGTGCTGAGCAGGTTTGTTGCTGGGAAGTGATCCAGAGATCCCTTGGATGCACAAGCTGTGATGTCTGAGGCATATTCAATGCTATTGATGAGAGCCAGGACGGTCTGATTGATGAGGAAGAGATGACTCTCAGCTACAGTACTAGTGAGATCCGATCTCAAAGGACAGAGCTGATTTCAACTTTGGTTAGCTGCTTGTGGTCATCCTTTTGTTCTCATTCTTCGCCACGTCATTTCTCTTCTCCTTGTCCTCGCCCTTGTCATCTCCAGCTTTTGTCAGACCGGCAAGCTGTATACAGCACTAGCGCTGAGCTGCCACATTGTGTGTAACGCGCCTTCTGCTTCTTGTGGTCAATGTTCTTGTCGTCATTTCATCCTAATCGCCGTTGGCTGTTGATGTGTGCGCGGACGTTGTTGATGTCGAGGTTGACGGCGATGTCCATGCTGATGTTTATATGATGATGTTTATATGATGATGATGATGATGATGATTATGATGATGCGTGGTAGTGGTGATCGTGAACGTCGTGGTGGTGGTGGTGGTGGTGGTGGTGGTGGTGGTGGTGATCCTGTAATGGTGGTGATGATGGTGGCCGCTATCTTTGCTTTCTTAAGTGTCGGTACCCTGACTTTAACATTTCCCACTGCTTTAACAGATTTCAGCTCATTCGCTTCGTTCAAGTCTACTAGATGATCTGAAGCGTGCTTGACGCCGTTCCATGTGAAATCTTGGCTTTTGGAAACAGTTCGTGCTGTCAATGCAGCGATGTGCCGTCACATGAAGCATTTTCAGGAATGAGCTCTTCATGGACTCGCGCGTTACAACTTACTTGGAAACGCTCGACATTGACGTGATGCAGTCAAGCGCGCTCTTCCACTTGCTTGCAAACGGTGATTTTGCTGAAGCTGCTGCATCAGATATCGTAAGGGATGGGAATTCTGGTTCAGCCCTTTATCTACATGAAAGCCAGTGCACTTTGCTGCGATGTACGCCCAGGAGGGTTCAGGTGCAGTTAACCTGGCTGCATTCCCCGCTAAGATTGAACATGGTACCAGGGTATTCCATGACCTGCATGGCTTCAGGGCCAGCACATCGATTGGCCCCCTTTTTTGATCTGCTCCTGATTAGCATAGATCAGTACAGTACAGTACAGTACAGTACGGTACAGTACCGATGGGCAATAGCCAACACAAGGCTGTTCTCGATCATTTGAGGTGACGGGCAAATTACTTGTGCCGATTTTATAGATGGCATCCTGCGGTGCAAGGGCCCTGCAAGAGCCATCGACCAGAGCCTCGGCAGATGATGATACTGTGCTTCATGCAAATTTGGCGTACGCTCTCCATCCAGGATCATGATGCAAAAAGATGTCCGAATGGTGGCAGAACAAGTCAAGCATCTCGTCTCCATATCAGTGTGTCACTTTCACCCACTCTGTTCTCAGCGACGCAGGTCAGAGGGTTAGGCATACTGGTAGGCAAGCTACAATGCTACACTGCTACAGTGCAACACTTTAAGCATGTCGATGTTGCACTGGGCCTCGACCGCGGAGGGTGTAGGGATTCCATTTGTTTGACCTGCTTTCCTGAATTCTCAACTGCCTTTGCGGCCGGCAATTCCCCAGGCTAGGATTTTGAGCGTCTCAACTTTATTCGTCCAATGCCATCGCTTAATTGGCAACAGCACAGCAGAAAGCTACAGCTGCCACTGGAAGCCTTACCTTTGTACCTCATCACAATAGCTTTTGGCGTGACTTGAGGGGTCATTTCTTCAGGCGTGATAGGCATTTTGGCTGGCCCCATGCTGCAGAAGACTTTGGGCCTTTACATTCAGAGTTCATGTCCTAAGGACACTGACAAACTCATTGGAAAATGCGAACATTATCGCAAAGCAGCCACAAAGAGCTTCCTGGAGCAGACACCGCAGAAAGTCCATCATTGATGACCAGATTACGTTCCTTGCCAGCAAGGAGCGCCTAAGCGGTTCTCTGGCAGCGCGACATCTTTGAACACTTCTGGGCTTGTCTGCTTTCATTTTCCTAATCCCATCTAATCCCTATGAACCTTATATGACCCCTATAAAGCCCCTACATAACCCTCATATAGCCCCTATCTTTCTGGAGCAGAGGCTGCTTGGCACGGCGAAAATGACAGATGCGGCACGGTATGCCCCGTGAAAAAAGGGTAAAATCTCCTTGCAGCTCTGAGCAGACGGCTTGTTAATGCAACAGCGCGGATTGGCCTTTGTGGTGAATGGACTTCCCTTTCATCTTGGGGCCAACGCCACAACATCTCAGGTTACTCTGTGTCCCTAAAGCTGGGATGCAAAGTCTCCAGAGCTTGAAGCCATTGTTTCGTTTTCCTTGGGCCGTTCCAGATTAGGATCTGTGTGGATTCGATGAACCATGTGCCTAGACATCCCAAGGATGGCTCAGATGGCCATGACAATCTCTGCGCGGCCAAGCCGACGCGGACTTCTGCATGTCTTCGCAAGGTCAAGTTTGATGCAGCGAAACAGGTGTATGGCAATGCGGATATATCCCCAGCTCCTAAACTTAACACTTTGGAGACCTTGCCTGGTTTCTGCTTGTCGCTCGAAGATTCCCAGCAAGCACGTGCAGCGTGGCTCCTGCAGACTGGGGGAATACATGCAAACAAGAGTGCTGCTGCTGTGCACGCGGTTTTGTTGGCCAATTGTCTGATGCACATATTGGACCGTCGCTTCTGTCACGTTGCAAAGTTCGGTGACGCTGCATGCACACGAGGCGCCACGAACAGCTCATGGATGCTGTGGCGAGGGAGCTGGCGGAGGGAGCCGGAAACTGGTACGGGGGCCCAGCTAAGTTGGCTATCGCTCACTATGATTAGTCCGGAACAAGTGACAACGGACATCCCCATTCAGACCCGGATCCAGAGGTCTGGAACAAGTCCCGAATTCCGTTCCAGACCCCTCC